GCAATACCGAATAAGAATGATGTAATGCTGTCTGGAGTTCATTGACCTTCCTTATAAGTATGATTTGTGTTGACTTATTGATTTTAAAGTAATTAATTACATGTTCTACACATATATTTTGTCACATATATTATTTCTATTACTTCAGTTTTTGAATTTACCGCCAATCCCCATCATCCCGAGATCTACTATGCAACCATTTTTTAAATATTACATATATTTTAAATCTCCCATCAGTTTCAATGCGGTGCTGATCGAACCTAAATCGAATGATGCAATACCGTATTAGAATGATGTAATGGTGTTTGTAGTTCATTGACCTCCCTTATCATGATTTATGCTAACATTGCGATTTTGAAGAAACTAAGGCACTAATTACAAGTATGTGCTGCGCATGCATTAAATATATTTTTTATTTTTGTCCATATTCTAAACATCAATCTCAATGGTTGCTCACGTGATCTCAGTTGATAATGTGATTTTTATATTTACCAAGTTCAGCTCGAATGTCATTTTGCACCAGGAATTTGTGAAATAGAATCTGTTATTCAAGTTTGGACAAGTATTTTGGTTGCACCCTGTATAAATATATGTATTCTTTAAATGTTTAATCTAGGATAAATCTAGTAGTATTAAACTAGATAAACACTTTTACTAAGGAACTTTAATCGTTAACGATAATATATGTATAGTATATTATCATTAAATTACTTGAACATTAATATTCTCAACATAACATATACAACATAATAAACATTTCGACTTTTACAAAACCATCAATTTGTAGTAATACGGCAAATCTTATGTAAATGAATTATTTTCGTTCAAAATAATGTTTATATAAAAAGCGGTACAATAACTTTATCTTTTCCTACAACTTTTTGAAAAATAATCGAAATCCTTCATAACTGCAACATTAATTAAATTAGTGATTTAACTTGTTCTATTTTGTCATTTTACTCATACGACATAGATGTAGACCTGAAGTTGAAATAAAAACTAAATATCTGGAATTATTATTATTTTTGCTCCAATTTTATTCTAAAGCATAGTGATCTTAAAGTTTTACTTATATCATGTTTAAGAGAAAAAATCAGTAATTAAAAAATATTCTACATCTCACCCTTTACCTAACAATTTATGCAACAAATATAATAGCCACTTTTTACATTATAACTGATATTCCATCCGACAGCATTTCTTCTCCATATTTATAGTGTATTTTTATAAAAAAATAGATGTAATGGTCTTTACACATACTCCCATAACTAAGGTATATATGAAGGGATCGAATTTACCATTCAGTAACAATCTAACAATTCAATTCCCCCATTTTCTCTCAATCAGACAACTTGTATATAAGTTACAAGAGTTGTGCTATTTTAAAAAAACATCCGGTAGATGTACAAATATGCGCATGTCTGTCGCCTGGATTTTGTGTACGTGGCTGATGCTTTTACGTCAGTGACACAGCTATTTATTTCAAACCGTTAGCGAAATATAAGATATCTTGTGCTAATGCGCATGTTTTTTCGTTCAAGAGACCTGAACGGAGTTTGAATTTTTGATATTTGTTTCATATACCCACTCAATTTCTGGCGAATGAACCCTGGCTGTTGTCGTGCTTTGTGATGACACATGTATAAAGGTAACAATACCATTTGTTTTCTCTCTCTCTCTCTCTCTCTCGTTCTAATATTAAACTAGTACCTATTGAATCTGAATTTTTAACAGATTTAAGAAGCAGTCTTAATAAACGGTGTACACAGAGATTTTCTTTCCCATTCTATTCCATTCCTCTCCTTTAGGTACCTACATTCTTCAGGCCACTTCAGAAGCAGCAGCAGTCTACAGGATGTTCTTAAAGAAACGACATGACAACTCTTAAAAGGTTTTTATATCTGTTGGTTTGTTCCTTAATACGTTCTCTCCCAGACCTAGGCTGAACTTTTGCTTTTTCAATACAATTTGATATTTAAAAGAATAAGTAGTTAGCGTTGGTCACATGGGCTTTAATACGAACTTAAGATATATATACAGATGACACGACATTATTAAGATAATAATAACAACTATTAAACCCATTTCCTAAATAGTATAGAATTCTTCTTGTAATTAAATAGATAATGTTATATAGGGTGTTAATTAAGTATGTACAATAAATTTAACAGACAGTGATTTTAAGACAATGCTTCGTTTTCGTATTAAACTTTTGTAAAAAAATTGATGTTTCGTAAATATCTTAACCCAATTTTAGTGACACAGCTATTTATTTCAAACCGTTAGCGAAATATAAGGTGCTAATGCTCATGTTTTTTCGTTTAAGAGACCTGAACGGAGCTATGTTTGAATTTCCCATCTTAAGATTATGAAATTTCACACTAATAACTGAAATATTCAATATATCAACCACAGTATTTCTGTTAATAAGTGATACTATGGTGGTCTAGAGGTAGCGGGCTCGCTTTGGAATCCAAAGGTTCGGGGTTCGAATCTCAGACAGAGCACTTTTTTAATTTAAATAAAATTCTCTCCTCTCTCCTTCACTCCGATCTCTATTGCCCAATCGTTTAAATATAGAAATATGAATTTACCACCAATAAGGCACTAATTACAAGTATGTTCTGCGCATGTATTAAACATATTTTATTTTTGTTCATATTAACTCATTTCCTAAATAGCATGGAATTCTTCTAATAATTAAATATTTTATCATCAGATTTTAAGTGCTACCCAACCGTAAATTTTATACTAATAGCTGAAATATTATTTAACATCAATAAATCAAATTGATTTGAAATATGGCTCAATTCAAAAGAAAATCTAAACAGCGATGCCTTTTATTGCGAATCGTGATTTTAATCCGTGTAAATCACGTATAATAGTTAGCAATAGTAATTATTTTGTCGACACCCACGACAGCTGGACATTTTACAAAACTCGAACAAAAACTCTACGAGAAACGTTCTTTACTCTACGCGAGGCGACATTTTTCGGCAAGCGATAGTGCTATCTTCCTCTTTTTTTAATTTTAAATACAAATACCTTTCCACTCTCCCATAGATGTCCTTCTGTGTCCGAAAATATTATTTATATATTTAAAAGTGCTTATTATACATCAATAGATGTAAAATTTTAACACAGGCAACAATTTGACAAACGTCGTTAATAAAAATTAGAAATAATAATACAGTATAATTTCAAAAATTTTAGAAAAGCTGGAACTTTGTTGCCATTCTTAAAAATTGGACACACCTTTGCTTATGGGCCTTATACACATACATATTCTACTGCCATATAAGCATTTGATTTGTATTACATGATTATACCCAGATAAAAACGATTCACAATTTTGTAGATTTACGAAATATTTCATTTTAATAGCGCGAAATAAATATCGATTTTGTTAACTTTTGCTGGTAGGTACTTAGTATTACGTACTATATCTACATATATATAATATGGTGAGTTCCATGTGAAGCGTTTAGTGTAGAAAAACAGACAAAAAATTTGTTTCATACTACTATGCAAATACTTACATATACAGGGTGTTACTTAAAAGGTATAATCTGGAACCCAAATGGTGTCGATTTAACCAAACCTGCTTAAACGAAAATGTGGTGAAAAAAGTTACAGCGTGTTAAACTTTCTTTCTTATTTTTTTGTTTTACACTTAACTCAGAATCCAGTTAACCGATGTGAGCAAAATTTGCTGTTACTTAGTTTCTCCTATTAGGTTAAATCATTCAGGGCGTTCATTTTACTGCAATTCTTTAGATGCTTCTGCAACTTTTTTGTACGTTTAAATTTTTACACGCAACTATCAGAAATAAGTGGATAAGTTTATTCTACACAAAAAGTGCACACCTATCAAAAGTGAAAATTATTATTATGCTTGGTTATGAAGATATTACAGAAAATATTTATTAACACATACCCCATATTTTTTGAAAATAACTACGTATCCATAATAAACATAATAAATAACATAATTAATAATATAGTAAACTGACCCTATGAAAAACCCTAGTGTACTTATTTGTATCATGATGTCTCTAGAACACGTTATAATATCTTTTTTCATGTTCTTATAGTAGGGGAGCCCAAGAGGGGATTTTGGGAGTTACTCAAGCGCAGCAGATTAACATATGGGGGATACCTTGCACCCTGTTGAATACCTCCACCATATCTAAGTCCTCTACTACTACTATGATATGCTAGAAAGAGAGAGTGGAGATGATCCCGACAAACTTGTAAATGATTTACGCTATTGTTACGAAAACCTCAATGGGACGACCATGGGCGACCCATGGTCGAACCGAAGCGAAGCGAACCGAACTGCCGAGAATTATTTGGAAGCATTCTTAGATTTAACGCGGCGCGTCTAGATTTTTCGTTGAGGGTATAAATTAATTTGCTTGTTTTGTATAGAGTAGTATTAGTACGAGTATTGGTAAAGCGTTCGGAGTGTTTGGAAGTATTAGTAAAGCGGTTGCAAAGTGAAGTATTGTGCAGTATAGTGATAATCGTAATTAGTTGGTGTAATTAGTTAATAAATAGTTAATTATCAAGAAGTGTATTAATTAATCGAACCCAGGGTTTTGTCACCACGTAAATTTCGTGACAATTGGTGTCAGAAGTGGGATTCAGTACCCGGAAGTGACTGTGAACGTGTTCAAAAGTGAAAGACATTAATCGGCTTGGACAGTGCGTTACCAGTAGTGACTGTTTACACAAAAAAAAAATAATAATAACTGGATTTGTGGATCTTCGCGAAAGTTCCAGAAAGTTCTATTCTGAAACTAATAGAGATAGACAATTTCCGACTTCACCGTTGTGTTTGTCGTGTCGAAATAAATCCGGGACCGCATTTTCGTAGAAGTTCTAGAAAGTTCTATTCGGAAATACAGAGATACAGCTTTCGACCTCGCCGCTGCATTATACACCTACAGAGAAACCCAGAACAGCAGATTTAATCAAGTTCTGAAAATTTGAAAAAAATGGCTAAATCTAGACAAGCTGCCGAGATGGAAGAACAAATGAAATTATTTATGAGTAATTTCATGGCTATGTGGGAGGAAAAACGGCAAGAAGATGAAGCTAAAAGACAGAAAGAGAAACAAGAAGAAGAGGCTAAAAGACAGAAAGAGAAACAAGAAGAAGAGGCTAAAAGACAGAGAGAGAAACAAGAAGAAGAGACTAGAAGACAAATGGAAAAACGAGAAGAACAAGAACGGGTACAGAAAATTATTGAAGAACAAAATACTATAGAACAGGTTCGAATAGAGAAAATACTTGAGGACCAGGAGATACGAAGCCGTAGAATTTTCGATAAGATAGAAAACTTCACTGCAGAAGTTATGTCAGTGCGTAATGAACTGATGGAGGTTAAGGGAAACATCCAGGAAGTAAAAGGTCGAGTTCGTGATGCCCAAGATATGGTGGAAAGATTAGAGACGGAAGTTAAAGGCCAAATTGTAAGACTGGAAACCGAGATGTCTAGGTTAAAGAGACAAAGCCAAATAGAGAGACCAGTGGCAGCAGGTTCACCTATCAAACCGCCGACGTACGATGGCACTACATCCTGGACCATGTACAGAAGACAATTCGACGCTGCTGCAGATGCCAATGGTTGGGACAACCAAGAAAAGGCCACCGCTTTGGTGATATCTCTTCGGGGTGCTGCTCTTGAACTGTTACAAACAATGCCGTTGGACCAACAGAGGGATTACAGTTTGTGCTTTTATCAGAATAGTAAAAAAAATCGATAGTTGGAAATATTCGAGCGCGTCAGATTAAGATATGACGGGTTAATTACATGCTGAAAAGTGTGCATTTCAATAATCTGATGATTTGAGCGTGACGTAAGGCAGTCAAAAGGTCACAAAGTTGTAAAAAAAACGTCACTACGACATTCTCAAGCGCGATCGATTTTTTTTATTTTGAAGGAAATAATTCAAGGATAACGGGAAAAATATAATCTGCCGATTTCCTCAAGCCGAAGTAACAAAAATCGTTAATAAAGTTTAGCGCGTGCAGCTGCAGGAAAATACATGTAGTTTCGAAACTCCGTCAGGAAACTCCGGGAGATGATTCTATGGATTAAAATAATAGCAGTATGTAATGAAAATTGTTTTCGAATTGTCAATTGTTTGCAAGTTACAGCTTGTCGAAGTAAATTTTTTAAAATTTTTTTATTTAAATAACTTATTTATTTCATGTTCGATTTGGCACACCCACTAAGTAGATGAAGCTCTATTGGACCAGTCAGAGAAAAGTTTCATTCTGCGCCGCTAGAGGGCACTTTACCTAGAACTCAACTTCTTAAATTTTTTCTCCTGCTAGACATCACAGAAATTTAAACATTATTGAAAAGAGAAACAATATCAGAAAAAAATATGTACTCTTTGTTCAAGCCGATAAATGTAACCGTTTACCAGGAAATCGCTATTCGTGTTATTCGTGTTATTAAACATCAAATTTTTGATCATTCTTTCTGTAATTATGTACAGGGTGTCCCGAAATTAATGCAACAAAACTTGGTCATAGATTCTTAAAACAAATTTAGGGGACCCGTATTTTTTATTTTTGCTAATAAAATGATAAAAAACTAAAAATATCGTTTTTTATTAAGATTTATATGTTGTTTAACTTATGTGTTATGACAGCAGAAATGGTTCTACAGTTCAGAGTATAATTTGTGCGAATGTATGTAGACATGTTGTATAATTTTATGTTCTGTGTGATNTTTTTTATTAAATTCTGTATAGGATTTATATGTTGTTTAACTTATGTGTTATGACAGCAGAAATGGTTCTACAGTTCAGAGTATAATTTGTGCGAATGTATGTAGACATGTTGTATAATTTTACGTTCTGTGTGATTTTTGTTAAAATTGTTTTAATTGTTTTAGGATTTATACATTGTACCTTTTTTTTAATAATAATATCAACTGTTTTACAGTTCAAATTCAAACTGAAAATTGACATACCACATTTGTACGAATGTATGTAAACAGTGGTCGGCTGTCTGTCTGTCTGTCTGCCTGTCTGCCTGTCTGTCGGTCTGGCTGCCTGTCTGTCTGTCTGTCTGTCTGTCTGTCTGTCTGTCTGCCTGCCTGCCTGCCTGCCTGCCTGTCTCTCTCTCTCTCTATCTATCTATCTATCTATCTATCTATC